TAAAACTTACCTTTTAGCTTCTGTGGTACCCTTTTGTCACATAGGACACCAGATGCTTGCCGTCACTTCATCCACCCTGCTTTGATTCTATGGCTAACATCTTCATCAATATCCCCGTCTCTCTGTAGCATTGGTCATAAATATCGAAAGGTATCATTCCTAGGCACTACTTGACCATCTAAACTAATATCTTCTTCCTCCCGAGTAGTAGTGCCGAAGTCACATCTCATATACTCAGTTTTAGTTCTACTGAGTCTAAAATCTTTGGACTCCAAAGTCTCCCGTCATAACTTCAGTTTCTGATTCACTCCTGTCAGGCTTTCATCAACTAGCACTACATCATCCGCGAAAAGCATACACCAAGGGATGTCCCCTTGTATGTCCCTTGTGACCTCATCCATCACTAAGGCAAACAAATAAGGGCTCAAAGCTGACCCTTGATGTAGTCCTATCCTAATCGGGAAGTCATCCGTGTCTCCATCACTTGTTCGAACTCTAGTCACAACATTGTTGTACATGTCCTTAATGAGCCCGACGTACTTCGTTGGGACTTTATGTTTGTCCAAAACCCACCACATAACATTTTGTGGTATTTTATCATAAGTCTTCTCCAAGTCAATAAAAACTATGTGTAGGCCTTTCTTCTTCTCCCTATGCGCTCCATAACTTGTTTTATTAAGAAAATGGCTTCCATGGTTGACCTTCCGGGCATGAAACCAAATTGGTTCATAGAGACCCACGTTATTGCTCTCAAGCGATGCTCGATAACTCTCAGTATGGCTCATTAACTTAATTCTCCGGTAATTAGTACAACTTTGAATATCCCCTTTATTCTTGTAGATCGGTACCAATATACTTGTCCTCCACTCATCAGGCATCTTGTTCGATCGAAAAATATGGTTGAACAGCTTAGTTAGCCATACTTTAGCTATGTCTCCGAGGCATCTCCCATCGTCTTACCTCCTTTCATTCTTTTTAACGCTTCTCTGACCTCAGATTCTTGGATTCTCCGCACAAAGTGCCTATTGGTGTCATCAAAAGAGTCATCCAACTGAAAGGTTGTGTCCGTATTCTCACCATTGAACAATTTGTCAAAATACTCTTGCCATCGATGTCGGATCTCATCCTCCTTCACCAAGAGATGCTCTCTTTCATCCTTAATGCACTTAACTTGGTTGAAGTCCCTTATCTTTCTCTCACGAACCCGAGCCATCCTATAAATGTCATTCTCTCCTTTCTTCGTACTCAAACGTTGGTAAAGATCCTCGTACGCTCTACCCTTTGCCACACTTACAACTCACTTTGCAGTCTTCTTTGCCACCTTGTATTTCTTTATGTTGTCCACGCTCCTGTCATGGTACAAGCGTCTATAGCATTCTTTCTTCTCCTTAATAGCCCTTTGGACTTCCTCGTTCCACCACCAAGTATCTTTAGCATCGCCTCCACTTCCTTTGGTTACTCCACACACCTCTGAGGCCACCTTCTGAATGTTGGTTGCCATCTTCTCCCACATGTTGTTTATGTCATCTTTTTTCTTCCAATAGCCCTCTTTGATAACCCTTTCCTTGAATACCTCTGACGTCTCCTCTTTCAGTTTCCACTACTTTGTTCTTTCAATCTTAGCTTGTTTATCCATACGGGCACGCACCTGAAAACGAAAGTCTGCCACCAAAAGCTTATGTTGAGAAACAACACACTCCCCTAGTATCACCTTGCAACCCAAGCATGCTCGTTTGTCCTTTCTTCTTGTGAGGACAAAGTCAATCTGGCTAGAGTGTTGTATGCTACTCAAGGTCACTAGATGAGATTCTCTCTTTCTAAAGAAAGTGTTGGCTATCATCAGGTCAAAAGCTACCGCGAAGTCCAGAACTTCCTCCCCCTCCTGATTCCTACTACCATACCCAAAACCTCCATGAACTGCCTCGAAACCTGCGCTTGTAGTACCTACATGCCCATTAAGATCTCCTATAAAAAGCTTCTCACTACTAGGTATAGCTCTAATTAGACCATCTAAGTCTTTCCAGAACTGTCTCTTAGCACTCTCGTCGAGGGCTACTTGAGGGGCATACGCACTAATTACGTTCAAAACTATATCACCAATGACAAGCTTGACTAAGATAATCTTATCTCCTTGCCTTTTCACTCCCACCACAGTATTCTTGAGGCTCTTATCAATCAAAACCCCTATTCCATTTCTATTCGCAACTGTCCCTGTGTATCAAAGTTTGAAACCTGTATTGTCCACCTCCTTCGCCTTCTGACCCTTTCATTTAGTCTCTTGAACGCATAATATATTTACACGCCTCCTAGTCGCGGTATCAACTAATTCTCTTAACTTACCTGTAAGCGACCCTACATTCCAACTTTTTAAATGGATCCTAGTTGGTTCGACTAGCTTCCTTACCCTTCGCACCCGTCGACTCAGATGTGAAGACCCTTGCTCATTTTTCACTACACCCGGGCGCCGATGTAGCGCGCCACTAAGGATGCGACGACCCGATCCTTGCTCACTTGACACCATGCCCAGATCGCGACACGGCGCGTCACGGGGGTGACGACCCGGCCCTTGCTCATTTAACACCATACCCGGGTTCCGATATGGCGCGTCGCTAAGAGGGTTATGCATCAACGGTTTTCTTTCGGGTTTCATCTCCATTAGAATGGTTAGATTTAACGTTGACTCGCCACGCCTATCACAACCCTCCTCCTTTACCAGGGTTTGTGACCTGCTATGTTGAGACAACATAGGCGAAGTTATGTGTCAGATTTTATATGATTCGAAAATTTAATTGGCAAAATGATGCATTTGTTAACATCCCTGATTATGAACTGCTTTCGTTTCTGGCAGGACAACAACCTAGGGCTGGTGAAGCAAGTGCTCTCCTCGATGTACAAACGGAACATCCAAAGGCTGACCCAGACTTACTTAACTCTTTCACTTGAAGATATTGCTAGGTCTGTTCAACTTGAAACACCAAGGGATGCTGAAATGCATGTACTTCGCATGGTAGGTGTTCTTTCTACAGCCTGTTTGCATTATGTGGCCAAGTCAAGTAGTCGACACTGAAAAATGGCATATTTTTACAGATTGAAGATGGAGAGATCCATGCAACCATAAACCAGAAGGATGGAATGGTCAGCTTTCATGAAGATCCTGAACAATATAAAAGTGTTGAGATGTTGGAGCATATTGACTCGTCTATCCAGAGGTGTGTGAATTACTGACGCTCTTAACGCCTATAATCATTTTATATAACCTCAAAAATTTATGAAACCATCCTAGTTCTAGAATTGTGGTTCCATTCTTAGCAACCATGCACATTGCCATAGCCTCTCAGAGAAGTTGACAAATATAGTTGATGTGGATGCCATTGAGCTATTGTTAGACATAGAGCACACATGTAATTTGGACTGATTCATTCTAAAATCTGTCCCCAGATTGACAGCATTATCCAAGAAGTTGGCTTCAATTGATGAGAACATGTCATGCGATCCTGCATATTTGATGAAGGTCAGTTCAGAGTTTCATAGAGATTTTATAGTTTTTTCTCGTGTCCCTGCCTTGTGGTTTGCTAAGTTCGGGATTTGGTGCAGACGGGAAGGGATCGTGGAAGATTCGATGGAAGGTTCGACTACGATGACTACGACTCTGTTCCGCACAAGTATTTTTGAGTTGTTCTGAGCCTAATGTGATTTTGAAGTACGATCATCAAAGTAGCAGCCATTCCCTAAAGTTATCATTAGTTTGATCGATCAATGGCTTTTGAAAATTGAAATGCTGTAAATTCTGGTTTAAAGAATGGGTGTGTGGAGAAGGCAGATACTGCTATTCAGTCAGTGGGATTGATCGGGGCTTTAATCTGCATCTGCTTGCTGTCGCTAGCATATTTGTCCCTCAATCCTGAGACGAGATTTCGTTTCTAAATCATTTTGCTCGGTAGACTTTGACCAACATTCCAAATTATCACGTAAACATCCTGGAACCAATCCGGTGTTCCAGGTTCATTCACCTTGAAAGGCTTGCGCACAAAGTTCAGTATTTGCACCAACTGAAGTTGAGCATGGCTTAGTGTTCACATTTGGTCGTGCAGTTAATATTTAACAAATATTCCATGCTTAGGTCCTGTGTGCATACATGAGTTAATTTCTAGCTAGCTAAAAATTAGCTCTAGTGCCAAACAGGGGGGCTACTTTCTTAGACAAGTCTTCAACTAATTATTAGCCAACCATAGCAAATTTTGTCATAACTAGTAAATAGCCATGTGTATCAAACATTAGGGTACGAAATAGTATAACCATTTTTCTTGTATTATACACTAATGTTTCTATCTAAAAAAGAATACAATTCTAGGTCTTATTAAGGTCAAACTATCTTAAATTTGATTATGTTTATAAAAAATATTATCAAGAGGTCTGGCTCTAAACAGATATTATGGCCCCGTTTGCTTGTCTGAAAAAAAAGATAAAACACTGTAGTGGCGGGTTGTTGTGAGGGAAAAATACTGTAGCGGCTGGAAGATGCACTGTAGCGTGTGAAGAGGAGCAGCAGGATGGTTTGAAAATTTCAGAACAGCGAACACGCCCTATACTGTAAGAATATCTCACGAGGAATCTAGTGTACTAATCTAGTATAGTAAATATTCGTGTTTTTTTATATAAATGTGATTGTACTTTTACTTTAAAATCAGTTAAATTAGCACTATCCTATAATTGTATTCCTTTATAGATGGCTGGAGTACATACATTATTTATACTAGGAAATAATTGCACATGGCATAATATAATTCATTATTAATTGCCTTGCGTCCCGTCTGGTGCGGGTATTTTCTGATTCGGCGATAATTTTGAATTTGATCTGTATGAAATTTAAGCAGAATTGTTGCCAAATCCTTGCGTTCCAATTAGGCTCCTTAATTTAGCAGACGAAAGACGCCTAAACCTCTCTCGCTGTACCCTCCCGGAGTCCCGGTCATCCCTGTCGCCGCGCGCCTCCAATTCCAATGGCGATCACCGTCGGCTTGGGCCACTCGACGCTCCCCCTCGCGAGAACGCGCTGCGGCGCGCCGCCGCATGACCCCTGCTCATGTCTTACCGGCGAGCCACGCCGCATCCGCCCCTGCCGCGCGAACTTGGCCACGCCGCCGGCTCCCCTCGACGACGACGAGCCCCGCAAGAGCCCGCTCGATCTAGCCCTGATACTTGCTTCTATCGCCGCGGCGGCAGCGGCCGCCAGCCCGCATGCCGCGCTCGCCGCGTCCGGTGGGGCCATGGGAGGGCGCTCCTACTCGTCGTCCTCGCGCTCCTCCTCCTCCCCGGCATCCTCACACTCTTCTTCCTCCTCGTCATGGTCGAGTCCCTCCTCATCGTCCTCCACCTCGTCATCGTCGACGTCGTGGCCCACCTCCTCGCCGGAGCAGCAGACGGAGACGACTTACGTATCAGTCGGCACGGCGCAGCCGCCTCCGGTGGCTACGCCCGCCGAGAGCGACGCGGCGATGCGGTTCGGGACCCGTCTAGCTTGTGCTTCCGTCAGCGCCGTTGCCCTGTTTCTCGCCGTGCGGCGCTACACCCGGCCGAGGGCGACCGTCATCAAACTCCAGGTCCTGCTGATTTTTGCCGTATCCATTTTTTCCCTATCCGTGATCACTAGTTAGTAGATCAATCTGAAAAGCTCACTATGCAAATCGATAGTAATTGGGAGTTTGTCATAATTCAGGTTGCATTGCTGGGTTTGGCAAAGTCATTCCAAAAAGATCTGAACGAGATTGCAGAGAAGGTGGAGGCTTCTAATCAACGATGGTATAAGTTCATATTGACAGGTAATGCAGATTCTAAATTCTTGCTGCTCAAGTGCTCATGTACTAACATTCTGCAACTCCTTCAATGTTAGTTTCATTTTTTTTATCGCCCTTTTGATTTGTACCTTGTGAAACTTGGCTAGAAGGTATATATGACATTCTTAAATTATAACCAGGACTTTCATGTAGTTTATGATATTCAGACTGTACCCGGTCCTCATGTCAAGTACATGCTTTCATAAATACTGAATGCGCAACCAAACTTGTCCAGCAGTAGACGAAATTTTAAGCTTGGACAGTATGTTAGGTTTCTTCAGAATACAAAGGGAACTCAAGAACTTAGTTTGTTGTAGTTTTTGCAAACAAACATGGATAATTAGGAACAGGTAGTAGATAATTTCTAGTTTTATTTCAGTTGCAGTGAAGACTGAAGTTGACAAGTATCTATAACCATGATATTGTAATGTATAATGCGTGAATACAAGTCATTTCAGGAATATTGGCACTTGTAGAAACTATCTTGTTTATTAATGTAAGAACCAATGTAATTGTAACAGTATCTCTGATACAGGTGAAATATAGTATATGTATACAAGATGTTTATCCACTCAAATGTTGATCAAATACTTGCATATAAAATATTTGATCGAATCATTTTCATTAAATGATATTAGATCTACAACTGCTTTGAGTTATCCATTAATACCTGCTTAGATTGCACATGAATATATCCATACTTGAGAGTAGCTTGTTTACCATACTCTGATGAACCACCATTTATGCAGAGACCTTATGTTCCCTGCGCCGTCACAACAATTGCTGTATATCTTCAAGTTTATCAGTAAGAGAGATATACATGACTTGAAAATTCTTTGGTGACAGATGGTTTTCATGCCTCTGTAGTGCAAGTCGCTGAATCTCGTGTTATTTCCATGCCATTTATTGTTAGGTTGATGTGAAATCTAGAGTTGACTCTTGGGAGCAGCATTTTGATAAAATTTCTATTGAGGAACGGAGTAAATTTGATGAAGAAACTCTCTACAACTTGGAAGGAATCAAGAGAGAGAAAACTTACTCCAGAAAACCTGATGGCTTCAGAAACGAATACATTGTGGTACGTGTACTTCTTACAGGGCAAAATTCTACCAAAAGGACAATTGTTATCCACATCACTATGAACTGGTTTAGACTATTTCTATGAACCGATGTTTTTCTGTTGAAACATCAAGCATATCAAGCTTCATACTGCAGAATGATTTTTTTTTTTTTGATAATTTCCAAATCTTCAGTTAACCATACTGGTTGCTGCCGTTGGAGCACTAAAATTCCCCGAAGTCAGAAACTATGCAGATCTGGAAGCAGTTGTGGAAAAGCTCAACTCTATATCCGCAAGACAAATTCAGGTATAGTGTTGCAGATAATTTTTCCCCCTTTTCGGGCCTGTTCGCATTGTCTGAATTCGGAGGAATTTGGATAGTTTGGAGGAATGCTGGAGGAATTTGTGAGAGAAAAACACTGTTCCGGATGAAAAAATAAGCGGATAAGCCGGGTTTAAGGGCACGCGAACGGGGCCAGTTGGCACAAGTGCTTTGCTTTTTCAGATGCATAACTGCGAGTCTGTGACATGAGTTGGAATAAAAATGACAGAGAATTACTGTGAAAACCTATTTATTTACTACGTATTTCTCAAGTGATTCATCCTTCTGATACCGTTGTATATTGGGTTCCTGACTGCGCCTGCTATTTCAGGGCATTCAAGTTTTATGGACTCCCCAAGATGAGCACGACGTTCTTTTTGGAAGAGAAGCTACTAGAAGACTATCCTTATCTGAAGCCCTTGTGTGAATTGTGATGACTAGGATAGTTTTGTTTTCTCTCCATGCTATCGTACAAGCAAGTAATCTACGGTGGTTGATGAGCCGATCGATCATATTATAAGATCGTAGGATACATATTAGGGAGGGTCTACTATGTATCTGCTCGATTCATTGGACAGGCATTCAGCACTAGTTGCAGCGGGGTTGTGGGATATGAGGACGATCACTTTGAATGCAACGCGCATGCACCGCACAAATTGTATACTGCTGGGAGTGAGCGAGCACTCACTCTACGGTGCACGGACCCGTGGATTGGTTGGGTCCGTAACTGAGAATTGTCTTGTATTATCCCTCAACGATTCTCTGCCCTCGAAGATATGTGGCCAAGTCTTTTTTGACGGGTATGTGACCAAGTTTTGTATAGGGCATCAAAATATATTTATTATTACTAGGCCGGTTTGAACAACACGTGCATGTAAACAACAACATACACGTTTCTAGTTCTAGATCTTGTGCTGAAAAATATGAACCAGAAGATAGATATTCCCTCTATCCTGTAACATAATGTATGCTATCATTAAAAAAAATCTAAATATAAGCTATTTTAGGGGATAAGAGCTATTTTGTATTTAATAGTTGCACAATTTTGGTATGCATTATTATATCAATACTTGTTATTAACCAATCTCCATTAGTCACGTCAATGGTAAGCTGATTAGAAAATGAAACGAGGACATATATTTCTTTAGCATTCTCTCTTAATCTGTTCTATTTGTTTAGTTATACTTACAAGATGGAGGGAGTATATCTATGAGTAGTTAGGATGCTTTGAGCCTTAGGGCAGCTCTAACCATCGACTTTAAAGCTAGCTCCTAGTATTTTTTCTCATATTTTAAAGAAAGAGAGAGAAAAGCCAGCTCTTAACCAAGAGCTAAGCTCTTGCATATATTTCAAGGTTACGTAGAGTGTCATGTGGCTATCCATGTTAAAAGTTATGTGCTCAAAGTTAGCACTATTGGAGAAGTTGACTTAGAGCTAGTAACTAACTCTTACCATTGCAGAACATGGACATGGCATGATTAGTCGAAGTAGTTCTCTTATACTAATGCTAATTTATGATTTAGAGCATCTCCAAGAGTATTTAATATTTTCTTCCTAAAAACATGAAGTTTTACGGCTCTAAAAATATATTAGAAGAAATAAAGAAGGCTATCTTCAAGAATTTCTTATAATACACTACTAAAATATAGAAGACAATTTAACATCAGGAATCCTATACTATTTCTAAATTATCCTAACCACTTTTATATATTCTTTCTCTCTTGTATATTTGTATCCGGAATCCTTTCCTACTCTTTATTCTTTCCACGTTCTTTCACCTTTACATTGGCCGATAAACGCGCGCGGGAGAGAGAAGACACGCGTGACTCGGAAGCGCGTACCTTTACGCGAAACATGGTGACTTTTCTCGAGTTTTAAAAAATTAGGAGGATAGATTATGAGTTGTTGAGATGCTTTTTTTTATCTTGCTGAAAACCAAGGATTACCGAGGGATTTAGAGAAGTCTGGGAGATGCTCTTACTATCAGTATTACTGCTACTATACTCATGGCAACAATTCCTAAGGTAAGTAATAAGTGGCCATGAAGGGAACTAACATGGTAGCAAGGCCAGTCGGTCCACTCAGTCTCTGATTGGACCATTTCAACGGTCTAGATGTAGATGTGGACGATTATACGTAGATTTAGAATAGATTAACGTGGATATAAATGCAGTTGTCCAGATATAGGCATAGATTTAGAGATATATAGATAGATAGATAGATAGATATACATATACGTATGATAAGATTAGTAGGATTAGTTTTCATAAGGGTGGGTGTGTTTGATTCAGGGACTAAAGTTGAGGAGGTGTCACATGGGTGTCGCGTGGAGTGTTTGAAAACTAATAAAAAAATTACAGAATCCGTTAGTAATCCGCGAGACGAATTTATTAAGTCTAATTAACCCATCATTAGCGCATGTTACTGTAGCATCACATTGTCAAATCTTAGACTAATTAGGCTTGAAAAAATCGTCTCGCAAAATAGTCTCAATCTATACATTTAATTTTATAAATAATTTATATTTAATACTCCATACATATATTAAAAATCCTATTAAACAACCGCTAAAGTTTAAGAGGCGGCGGAACCGAACACCCCACGATAAATTGATCTTGCTATATCAGAGGTACAGGCAAGTGGCCACGTGAGATGAGCGCAAGTGAACCTGGGTTCGCAACCCAGGCGGCCGGCCAGGCCCACTTCTGTTCCATGTGCCGGTTGGGCGGCCTAAATTGGGGCGGCGTCCGGGCCCACCGCATTGCTATCCATCCCAGCTCACGACAGCACGCGTCCACATCTCTCTCGCCCAGACAAAGAAAAAAGGTAAGAATCCCAAAGCAAATCACGCACCACACGCCCACGCCATGCGGCCGCCTTGCTAACCACGGCGCCGCTCGCATCGCCGCTGCCATGGCCGCCGCCGACTCCTCCAAGCCCGCGCGCGCAGCCGTGCTCCCCGCCCGGCCGCTCCTCCTCGCGCTCCCCTTCCTCTCCCTCCTCCTCCTCCTCTACGTCTACTCCACCTCCTCCCGCCCTGTCCTCTCCACAACCGTCGCCTCCACCACCACCACCACCACCACCACCACGACGGTGCCGCTGACCCCATCCCCGCCGTCCCCACACATCCGGATGCGGCGTTCCCGGTACGGCTCCTACGACGACTACCTCCGGCACCAGCTAAACAAGACGCTCGACCCGCGCCTCCGCCGGGTATGGGCAACCCGTGACTGGCAACGGAAGGTGGACGCGTTCGCGCGCCTCTTCGCGGGGCTCCGCGACGAGGGGGGCGGCCTCCTCACCAACGCCTCCCGCGCGCTCTGCGTCGGGGCCCGGCTGGGCCAGGAGGTGGCGGCGCTGCGGCAGGTGGGCGTCCACGACGCGCTCGGCATCGACCTGGCCCCGGCGCCGCCGCTCGTCGCGCGGGGGGACTTCCATAAGCAGCCGTTCCCTGACGACACCTTCGACTTCGAGTTCTCCAACGTCTTCGACCACGCGCTGTACCCGGACCGGTTCGCCGCCGAGGTCGAGCGCACGCTGCGCCCCGGGGGCGTTGCTGTGCTCCACGTCGCCGTGCACCGCCGTGGGGATAAGTACTCCGCGAATGACTTGCTTGATGTGCGCGGGCTTGTTGGGTTGTTCCCAAGGTGCGACGTCGTGAGGGTCTCTAAGGTCGATGCGTTCGGGCTCGACACCGAGGTCATCCTCCGCAAGAAGAGGTCGTCGTCTCGTCGTCGTCGGCGGCGGCTCTAGCTACCCGTGCGGACATCCATTGTTTTTGGGTCCTCCAGAACAGTCACCAGCCGACCACACGATCCAATCTTGGCTTGGCTTCCAAATTACGCCAAAGGTAAAGGGAAGTTTTGGGGCATCGATTTATTTTTGTTTTTACTGCTAATTGCGGCCTTGTAAAGTAGGAGGTGATTTTTTTGGTGACCAACACCAAGCACACACACTACGCATCCATCTTGTTCTTGTATACCTAGGCAGCGAATTGGTAGGAAAAACAATTGAACTCAATTGAATTGAAATCAATAGTTTTAAATTGTGTGCCAAGAAAAATCAATTTGAGGAAGGGAAGGATCAAATTGTAGCTAGGACTAGGAATGCATGCGCTTTCCCTTCTTTTCTTGAGCATCGCCTTCCTTTTGTTGCTTGTTTCTTGACTTATTAGACTTCTTCTCAGAGAGATTCTTTCACCCCAATTCGGGCGCTGCATGCCCCTACCCTGCTAATCGATGCGTGCAGCATACTGATGAGTGATGAGGCAGCTGCTGTTGCTTGTTGTGAGTTGCTGACTTGCTGTAGTAGATGGTAGTGGTAGCATGCAAAAATGTAGCTGGGTCAGGGGTTACCGGGACAGGAACTCGGGACCGTTTGGAACCTGGGAGTGGGACTGTAGCCATGCATATGTGTCCCGGGTGACTTTTGCGGCTGCGCACAGCATGGATGGACCCTGTTTGAGCCAGCATGCCTGCCCCATTGTGTAGGTAGTAAACTTTTGTTAAAAAAAAAATTACAGACATGATGAGAGATGGCATGCATAGCAGATACTCATGGCTGTGGCTGGCAGTGTTTGAACTCGGGAAGAGAGAGGGCTTCACGAGCAGAACAACGCCAAGCAAGCAAGACTGGCAAGATGTGAATGCATGCCTCATTTAACCGGGGTTTTTACATATTTACCACGGATGACATCTCTGACATATAAGTCACTAGTATTTCTTATACCACTTATATCTCACGATGGTAAATATGTAAAAATTCCCATTTAACCTTGGTTAGTGTAACTGAACGGTTAATTAGGTTAGATGGCATGCAAATCCAAGGGGAACCTTTGTCAGCAAGTAACCTTTCCGACTGATGGGAGGAAGATAAACAAAAAATCATTATATTACTTTTTTTATCTTTATTATATATAATAGTGAAAAGTACTCTGGTAACAAGTACTTTTCTCCACATCATGCTTCTTTGACGAGAAAACGAGTAAAAATTATAGAGCGGAGAACAGGCAGGAGTACATGGCAAATGTCTGTGTGCACTATACTATTTTTTTATTTAGTAAAAAGACCTTTTCACTATTCATTCACATGCACACCACCGCAAGATCCAAAGTACCAATCCCGGCCAGTATCTGACGTGGACACGTACGTACCGGCTGCAGAGAATCTGGTGGTGCCGTAAGCTACGAGTACGATTGCTTCAAATATTTCCTTTTTTCTTAGGGGGCGTTTAGATCCAAAAATTTTTAGATTTTGGTTTATTGTAGCATTTCGTTTGTATTTGATAATTAGTGTCTAATTATAGATTAATTAGATTCAAAAGTTTCATCTCGCGATTTCTCATCCAACTGTGTAATTAGTTTTTTTTTCATCTACATTTAGTACTCCATGCATATGCCGCAAGATTCGATGTGACGGATACTGTGTAAAAATTTTTGGAATCTAAACGCCCCCTTAGTCCTCCGGCCGTTCACGCAAAATTGATGGATAAACGATGCTTCGAATCGAAGAATCTCCTAACAAGTTTCAGGATTCCGTGAGGCCGACGAGTGTCTAAGTATCGTACGTGACAACTTGTGCGAAACCTCCTCAAATTTTTATCACAGCTTCCACATATGATATTATGACATCTTGACAAATTTTATGATTTTTGGACTTTTTTTTGCTTTTTATAGAATTTAAAAACAACTCGACCACAAGTTCGTGGTCATGTTTCATGAATAAGATGTTCGAAATTGGTGGTCTGTTCTTGGATACTGCCTCACATTATACTAAATAACAAGAATATCATTTTTCCATTCATTTTTTCATTATTCGAATGACTAGCAGTTATAATTTGAATTATCCAAGAAAATTCAATTAAATGAAATAAATTAAAGAAATATAGAAAAAGTCCAAAAAATGTGTCACATTGGAACATGGAGTACCAGGTATTGTATGAGGACTACAGAAAAAGTTTGGAGGTCAAAAGTGAAAAAAATATGGTTTACCGAGTGTCCGAGTTTGGCGCTCGGCAAAGGAGCCTCTTTACCGAGTGCCAGGACATATGGCACTCAGCAAAGAATTTTTAATTTTTTTTAAAACCTCTCTTTGCTGAGTGCCAGGCCAGGTGGCACTCGTCAAAGAATTTTAAAAAATTAAAAAATATTTTGCCTAGTGCCAGATAGGGAGCATTCGGCAAAGAATTTTTCTTTAAAAAAACCCTCTTTGCTGAGTGTCAGGCCAGGTGGCACTCGGCAGAGAATTAAAAAAATAGTTTGCCGAGTGCCAGATTAGAGGCACTCGACAAAGGGGGGATTTAACCCCGTCGGGCCATTCGGCCCACACACACCGCACGCACGCACGCACACACGCACGCACGCAGGCAGACCGCCCGCGCCCGCGCTTACCCGCGCCGCCGGAGGAGGAGGAGAAAGGGAGGAGGAAGAAGGAGGAAGATGGAGGAAGAGAAGGAGGAGGAAAAAGGAGGCCACCGAAGCAACGACGCCTTCGCCCTCGCGCGCTCCTGCAGCGGCGCCGCAGCAACGCCGTCAGGGTGCGGCGCGGCCCTGCAGCAGCGGCGACCCGCATCCGGCCATCTCGGTCGCTGCGGCGCGGTCCTGCAGCAGCGGCGCTCCCTCGTAGCGCTCTCCGAGCTGAATGGTCACCTTGCTCGTCATGCTGTGCTTCGCCATTCTGAAGTGGTGAGCCCCTATACCATCTCCGCCTGATGGATGTGGATGCATGAATAGATTAAGATGTCTTGGTTAGGTTTTGTAATTTAGGAATCTAGGGTTAGGGTTACTGTATATTCCTATACATGTTTGTCTCCTAGAAATAAAGGATAACAATTAGGGACTTTGATTTCCCTTGTGTATTGAACGATGTATAACTTCCCAAAGGTCACTAAACTAACTCATACATTCTTGCTTATATGTGTTGGAGAAATATTAGACACTACCTCACTCTTTTTAAGATTTCAGTAGCATTTGTTACATTGCTAGGTGTTCCTTCGTGTACATATATTAGTAATGGGATACAGATCCTGAATTTGTAATCCCTGATCCTTTCTTATCCGAATTACGTTGCTAGTTGTTCCTTACATAATCTTGTGCATGTCGGCCATTGTGTCGTTCATATATATGTGCATGTCGGCCATTGTGCCGTTGGTTTTCTTGCAGGTTTTGGAAACCTCACCGTGCAGGGGAGGTGCTGCCAAAATTTTGTATTGATAGTTTTATGTTTCTTTTTTTTGCAGAGAAGAGCTCATCGGAGCGGAGCCGGAGTACCTCGGCGACCCCGATCGCCTTCCTCGCCGCTGCGGGTCTGCCTGCACCGTGTCGCCTCACCACTGCACTGACCCACCACGGCCCCGCTAGCCTGACTCCACCACCACCCTAGGTATAACCCCTCTTTCCGTATCATGGTCGTAGATCATGTAACCCAGTTAGGCGTCTCCCGTTCGAAAGAGATACGGTTGGAAATATACAGATATTTCCATATCTAAAACCGTATATGTTTCGAATTGTCCATGTTTTTTAGACAGCCCGCGGATACGTAGGTGGGGTTAGTTTCCATGGTCTGCTCCGATCCAAGACAGAGTTTCGGCATCATCTCCCTGTTGTTCTCCGGATACACACTCTCCCTGGCAGGACATGCATTTGGAGAACAGCGGGGAGGTGCTGCCGAAATTCTGTCTCGGATAGGAGTAGAGCATGGAAACTAACCTCATCTACGGATCCTCGCGTGGGATTAGGACCTATCCTCACCTATTAGATAGTAGGAACGTCGTGTAGATGCAATTGATGTTTATATTACTCGCCGCTATATATGTTAGAGGATGGAGGACCGTGAGTGGATGTACACGGGCCGCGCAAGTCAGGGTCAGGTCACCAATGAATGGATCGACAAGACCGATGATTTCTTGGAACGGGCATTTGGCGTGGCTGCTAAAGGAGCGAGTAAAATTTGTTGTCCCTGCAGCAAATGTGCAAACAGGAAAAGACAAATGAAGAAGGTCATGGGGGAATATCTTTGGAAGAATGGATTTACGGCAAACTATACCCGGTGGGTCTACCATGGTGAAGCCGATCATATGAGAGAGGAAGTGCTGAGACCATGTGTCGAGGATTATGATGCTGATGCCGAGGTAGCAGACATGTTAAATGACTATCACGAGGCACAGTTCGCTGAAGGACGTACGGAGGAGCCAGAGGCAACCGCAAAGGCGTTCTACGACATGTTTGCCGCGGCACAGAAACCCCTTCACGGCCAGACAAAGTTTTTTCAACTGGATGCCATTGGACGCATAATGGCGTTAAAGTCCTAGTATAGACTAAGTCGAGACGCCTTCGATGGTATGTTGACAGTTATTGACAGCTTGCTTCTGGAGGATCACATTCTGCCAAAGAGCATGCACGAGTCACATAAACTCCTTCATGCACTTAAGATGCCATATGAGCAGATACATGCTTGCCCGAAGGGGTGCATCCTATTTAGGAAAGAATACGTGGAAGCAAAGTACTGTCTAAAGTGTAAATCCTCTAGGTTCCTGGAGGTAGATTCTGGTGATGGCCAGAAGAGGCAGGTTGACATTCCCATGACAATCCTACGGCACCTTCCGTTCATACCGAGGATCCAACAGCTATACATGACCGAGGAATCCGCGAAATAGATGACATGGCACAAAAATGGCAAACGATATAATCCTGACAGGATGGTACATGCATCCGATGGTGAAGCATGGACCCACTTTGATGGCATTCATCATGACAA